ACAGCTCTTATTTAGTTTAGCAGAGGCATCTTTGGAGGCATTGAGTCTGGGATCTGCTTAGATAGACATTTACATTCTTTCCTGCCTGAACACAACAGAACATGTGTTGTATAGGATGGAAAAACCCACACTGATACTTTATTTGAAGGGATGAGCCAGATGGCTTACCTCGAGGACGCTATCTTTTTGCCCAACAATCGTTGAATGCCTGAACTTGTGGGAGACGACCTCCAAGTCAAGATTGTTTTTATTATTCTTCACTAACCTTAGTGATCGCTGACAGTTATCATAGATCCGCGGGTGAATTTTAGTCTGTCTCTTTCCAACGTTGTGCTTATTCTGAATCATTGTGGCCTGGAAGTGAGTTAGTAAGACATCCACACAGCTGTCCATAGTTAATAAACATCAGTTTATACTGTCTTTGAGTCTCTGTTATAGTATCCTTAGGCGGGGAGGTAGAGAAAAAACACACTAAAGCAAGTAGTTGTTGTACTTAGTGACCTGGTAGTGCGATAAAGCACTTGGGGAAATATTTCGATCACGGGGGCAGTAAGAGAATTGGGAATACCTGTTGTTGTGTGGCTCCAAATAGTCAAATTCCTCAAGGTCAGGCATTTGCGCTCACGGAGAGTTAGGAGTTAGTACAGAGGCCGCTTGATACACCTTGTGTTGCTGACATTCACAGAGGTGTCACAATCGCGCTTATGGTCACCTTTCCCCCCCACCCGCCCGCCCTCCCTCTCCCACCGGCTCGGAGTCAGACTTCGCCACTGGGCGCTACCCCAAGTGAAGGGCGCTATGTAAATGCAAGTTGTTGTTGTTGTTGCCGGGCACTGGAGCTTCGGCCTAGACTGTCAGCGTTTCACCCACAAAATATACGATCATTTCACTTGACAGTGTATCCTGTGAAGCGCTTTGAGACGTCTCGGTGACGTGATAAGGCGCTGTATTAAATGCGAGGATTATTGCATACAGTAAATTGTATTGTGGTGAAGATAGGAGACTCCGCAGTGATCAGTCTGAGGCTAGTTTAATGCTTCGCCGGGTGGGAAGGTTACAGTGTGGAGGTGAGTGTGTTATCGCGGTCGTACGCGCACTCGACATCTCTTCCACATCTCTTTCTTCCTCTCCCCTGCACGCAAAGTGCTTTCAGCCTGTGAATAATTCACCGCTGTCTATTTCAGGCCGAACGTCATGGATTAAACATGAGGTTATCTCCTCACCACACTCCCCATCTGAGGTGTATTGTCTCCCACTGATTGCACAGTCTCCCTGCAGAGAGAGAGGGAGAGAGAGAGGCAGAGAGAGAGAGAGAATGAGAGACACACAGAGGAAGACACACGCACACGCACACAGAGACACACACACACACACACACACGCGCGCACACAAGAGAAAGACACACGCACACAAGGACAGAGAGGCAGAGAGAATAAGAGACACCAAGAAAGACACATGCACACAGACAGAGAGACACACACACAGACAGAGAGACAGAGACCGAGAATGATAGACACAGAGAGACATACACGCAGACAGAGACAGAGAGAGGGAGATGCAGAGAGAGAATGAGAGATACCGAGAGACACACACCGACCGAGAGAGAGAGAGAGAGAGAGACGCACACAGATAGACAGAGACAGACAGACAGAGTCAGAGAATGATAGACACACTGAGAGCGACAGACAGAGAGAGAGACAGAGACACAGAGAGAGCGAAAGCAACAGAGAGGACACACACAGAATGAAAGACAGCCACACAAACACGCACACGCACACGCACACAAAGTAAGACGGAGATATAAAGGGAAACAGAGAGAGAGAGAGAGAGCGAGAGAGAGAGGGGCACGACTGAGATTTAGAAAATTTGTACACATAACGCATGGGACTGGCAATGGGGAGTGGCAGTGTGGGCTGGATATGACGAGTGGCAGCACACCAGGCTCCGTGACCTTATCACTCCCACCCTTGCCCTCGCCCTGCCTGGCTCCCCATCCCCCCCAGAGGATTGAGTTCAAAATCCTCGTCGTCACCTTCAAGGCCCTCCGCGGCCTTGCCCCTCCCTCCCTACCTCTGCGACCAGCTAACTCCATATCGACCTGTCCGCTCCCTCCGCTCGGCGGGCTCCAGCCTGTTCTACGTCCCCCCCGCCCGCTATTATTTGGAAACTCCACAAATTTCACCCCTGCCTGCTGGATCTCCCTCCCTAAATCACTGTCCACCACACCCCCCCCCACCCCCCACACACCCCCACCGAAAATGCGTCTTAAAAACCTGCCACTTGGGACGATGACTTCAGCCACCCCCTCCCACCACTTCCAACTCTCCAGCTCCCCTCCCTCCCACCCACCCCCCCCCACCCCTAACCTCAGTCCTCACTGACATTGACGGTTGTATAATAATAATAATCCTTGCATTTGATATCGCGCCATATCACATCTTCAAGTCATCTCAAAGCGCTTCACAATATACTGTAAATTGGAGTGACTGTATTTTGTGGGCGAAACGCAGACAGTCGTGGGTTGAGTGATCAGATTATTTTTTACATTTTGTGTTGAAGGGTTCATTTACCCCCGAAAGGTAATCCGCCAATCAATCGACTAACAACAACCGGGTAAACAGAGGCGTGTGTGTGGAGTAAGGAAACTCCCCCAAACATTTTGCCCCCACCCGGGAATCGAACTCAGGTCCTCTCGTTTGCGAGGCGACTGCTCTAACCACTGAGCTGCGGGGCTCCACGAACTCAGGTTTTGCAGCTATTCTGCGCCGCTCTCTGGAACTCCATTTCGGAGTCCCTTCCTCTCACCCCCTCCCCGGCCCCCCCCCACCCACCACCCACCCCACCAACCCTCCCTCGCCCCTCCACGCACAGAGAGACATGGTCAAGTGGAGCTGTTTGCAGTTTGCTTTTATTGATAAATAAGAGCAAGCGAAAGGTCACGAGCACGTCACAATGCTGAGGGTCTGTGCCCCCGCCACCCACCCCCTCCCCGACTACCCCTCCCTCACTCCCCCAACCGCCCCTCCAACCAGCGGGGGTGGAGTTGTTAGCACCAGGTGTGGTAAGCGCAGAGCAAAAAGGCAACAGTTCGGGTGGGGGGAGGTCAGCCAGGCTGTTGAGTGTGTGTGTGTGAATGTGTACGTGTGAGAGGGGGTGTGTGAGTGTGAATAAGTCCGCGTGTCTCTGAACGTGAGAGGCTGAGGGTGTGTGTGTATGTCAGTGTGTGTGTATAAGAGTGAGGGAGTCTATGAATGTGTGATTGTGTGTGTGAGTGATTGTGTGTGGGAGTGTGTGTGAATGCGCGTTTGTGTGTGTGTGTATGTGTGTGTGTGTGTGAGATGGTGTGTTTGAGCGTGAGAATGTGTGTGGGAGTGTGTTTGTGACTGTGAGTGGTGTAGGGCTTGAGCGTGAGAATGTGAGTGTGAGAGTGTATGAGTGTGACAGTGTTAGTGTGATGGGGAGATATAGCGGAGGAGTGATAGAACATGAGAGATAGAGGGAGAGAGATAGCGGGGGAGAGATAGCGTAATCTATACTGAGAGCATGTTATAGGCTGGAATATTAATCCAGGGGGTTGGGGGTTATATAGAGAGTAATGTGGTATTGTTAGGGTTGCAATAACTGCTGTGTATGTGTGAGTGAGGGGGTGATGTGTGTGTGTAGGCAGGGATGATGTGTGTGTGAGGGGGGCTGATGTATGTGTGTGTGTGGGGGGGGGGATGGTGATGTGTGTGAGGGGGAGGTGACGTATGCGTGTGTGCATGTGTCTGTGTGGGGGTGTGATGTGTGTGTGTATGTGTCTGTGGGTATGTGTGGGTGATGTGTGTGTCGTGGGAGGTGGGGAGAGAGGGGTATGTGTGCGCGCGTGTGTGTGTGTGTGGGTGGGTGGGTGGGGTGTGGGGGGCGGGGAATGTGTGCTCTTTCCCTTTCCCTGGAGAGAGGGAAGGAGAGAGGAAGAAATTTGAAATTGAGGTACAGATCAACCGTGATCTAATAGGATGGTGGAACAGGCTCGAGTGGCTGAATGGCCTCCTCCAGTTCCTATGAAAGGGAAGGAGGGAGGGAGAGAGTAGAAACCCGCTGCTTATCTGTGACCCGCTCGCTCCCTCACTCTGCAGGGATGCAATTTTTAGAGTCAGGTGAAACGTCATAATTGAGAAGAATAACAGCAATGGGTTCAACGGGTTCAACTGGTGTCTTTCTCCTCTCTCTCTCTCTCTCCCTCCCTTTCTCTCCCTCCCTCCCTCCCTTCACTCCCTCTCGCTCTCCGCCTTCATTCCCCCTACGCTTCCCCCTCTCCCTCCTTCTCTCTCCCTCCCCCTCCCGCTCCCCCACTCCACCCGTCCAGGCAGACCCCCTTCCCCCAAATCTCCCGCACCGAGGTGGTGAATGAGAGCGCGTGATGGAGCGAGTGACTGGGGGAGAAGAGGGAAAGGGAGGGAGCGAGAAAAAGAGAGGGAGGAAGAGTGTGTGTGAGAGAGAGAGAGAGAGAGAGAGAGAGATGGAAAGGAAGAGAGGGAGAGAAGGGGCAGAGAGAGGGAGGGAGGGAAGGAGGGAGAGGGGGAAATGGAGAAAGAGATTCTCCGCTCGGGAGAGAGGATGAGAGAGAATGATAGAGTGTAGGTGTGGGGGGAGGGAGAGGGTGAGAGGGAGAAGGTGAGAGAGGGAGGGAGTGAAAAAGGGAGTGAGAACGGGAGTGAGGGGGAGGAAGGGAGTGAGAGAGGGAGGAAGTGAAAGAACGAGAGAGGGAAAGAGTGAGAGAGGGAGGGAGTGAGAGAAGCAGGGAGAGGGAGAGAGGGGCAGGGAGGGAGGGAGAGTGCGAGAGAGGGAGAGAGGGGGAGGGGGGAGTGAGAGAGAGTGAGTGAGGGAGAGAGAGAGAGAGAGAGAATGAGGGAATGAGTGAGAGAGAGTGTGGGCGGGTGGGAGAGAGAGAGGGAGTGAGGGAGGGAGTGCGTGTGATGGAGCCCGGTGACCTGGAGTACAGGTTACTCTTGTAGCTGTTACTCTTTCGCTTCGGCTAGTTTGTTGTTGATCTCGGGGGTCTTGACGGGCTCCTGGGGTGGGGGGTCCGGGTTCACTGACTCCCCCCGGCCTTTTTCTTGGCCGCTCTGCCTCCCCCCACCGGCTTGTCCTTGGCTTTCCGTGGGGCTTTGTGGCTGGAGGCCTTTTTTGGTTTGGAACTCGTCACGGTGGGCTTGTCTGGCTGTGGGAGAGAGAGGGTGGGAGGGGAGAGAGGGGGAACGGGGAGAGAGGGGACAGATAGAATGGGAGGGGGATGGGGGGGGAGAGAGGGAGGGGGCGAGAAGGGAACAGGAAAGAGGGAGGGGAGAGAGGGAGGGAGAGGGAGGGGGAGAGAAGGAGTGGTGGGAGAGGAAGGGGGAGAGAGAGTGGGAGGGGGATGGGGCGTGAAGATGGAGGGGAGAGAGAGGGGAAGTGAGGGGAGATAGAGGGTGGACAGGAGAGAGGGAGGGGAGAGAGGGAGGGGGGAGAGAGGGAGGGGCATTGGGAGGGAGACGGCGAGATAGATAGGGAGGGGGAGAGAGGAGGAGGGGAGAGAGGAGGAGAGACAGAGAAAGAGAGGGAAAGAAAAACCGTGACAATAATATTAATCCTGACATTGAATACAGCGACTTTCTTTCACACCAGGAGGACAACAACAATAAATGTACATGACGGGAGGACGTCCCAAGGCGCTGGAAAGTCAGGGATTTGGACCCGAGCTGGGGGTGCGGGGGGTTGGGATCAGGAGGCGTGCAGGTCAGGGAGGGTAAGGGTAGGAGGGTGACAAAGGTGTGGTCGAAGAGGAGGGTCGTAGACGTGCCTCGAAGGAGGCAACGGAGGGAGCAAGGTGAAGGGAATGTAGGATGCAGTTCCAAAGAGTGGGGGCAGAGAGGCTGTTGGCCCGATCGCCAACCGCATGGAGCAGGTTGAGGGAGCGGACAGGTTGATATGGGGTCAGCAGGTCGCAGAGGTAGGAAGGAACAAGGCCGTGGAGGGCCTTGAAGGCAAATAAACAAACAAACAATGATTTATTGGAGTAAGCCTCCAGTTGGTACCCTGCTAGGCTCTATATACGCCTCCCTGTAGAGACTGCGCATCCTCCTTCTCTCGGAGACCTTGTTGTCGGCAAGGCCAGGGCGGATGATTTCGGCACGTTTGCTGAACTGCCCCCTGAAGGTGGTGTTGTAGCTGGTTTCGTGAGCGACCTTGTCCTTGGGCGGGTGGTACAGCTGCTTGGCTTTGGTCACCTTGCTGGATTTGATGTCTGCCGTCCAGGGCTTGAACTCGTTTCTGGTGGTGGGTGGGGGGGGAGGAGAGGGGTGGGTGGATCACACCAGGCAGACCATGAGCAACACAGCAACACGCGCACACGCGCACATTGCACACACAACACACACGTGTGCACACACACGCGCGCAATACACACACAGATGAAACAAAGAGCTATAACATCATCAACATCAAGAATAATAAGAATAATAATCCTCACGGTTGATACAGCGCCTTATCACATCGTCGAGACGTCTCAAAGCGCTTCACAGAACGTACTAAAAACTGAATTGACTGTATGTTTTGCGGGCGAAATGTAGCAGCCAATTGCTCACTGCAGCGTCCACAAACAGTTGTGGATTGAGTGCCCACAGTTTTTTAAATGTATTTTTGCTTTGAAGGGATTATTACCCCCAGAAAGCGATCCACTAATCGACTAACAAACGAGGTAAACAGAGGCGTGCGTGTGGAGGTAAGGAAACTTGCCCAACATTTTGCCCTGCCCGGGAATCAAACCCAGGTCTTCTCGCTTGCGAATCGAGGGCTCTCACCACTGAGCTCCGGGGCTCCATTATCAACATCAATTGCTATGCGCAATTGGCTGCCGTGTTTCGCCCACAAAATACATACGGTATATTCTATGAAGCGCTTTGAGACGTCTCAAAAGACGTTATAAAGTGCTGTATCAAATGCAAGGATTATTATTATTATTATCAACATCAACAGTTACAACATAAGTAACATCATCATCAACAATATCAAGGATGATAATAATATTATTAGACAGTGCCCTTCACGTGGGGTAGCCTCTTGGAGCGCTTGACAGTGGCGAGGTTCCCGACACCGAGCCAAGGGGAGAGGGAGAGGGCGGGGGTCGGGACCGTAAGCACGATCAAAAAGGAAGGTCTTTAGATGGGATTTGAAGGAGGGGAAGAAGGGAGGGCGGGGGCAAGGCGGAGGGATTGAAGGAGACATTTTGGGACGTAGTGGCTGATGGCACGGCCACCGATGGTGGAACAGAGGAGGGCACGAGGGACAAACAGGAGGCCGGAGCCAACCAAGCGGAGGTGGTGGGTGATGGAGTGGGCGGGGGGATGGTAAGCAGGTCGGAGAGGTAGGGAGGTGCGATGGCATGAAGGGATTTGAACACGAGTGAGAGGATCTTGACATCGGTCGGTTCGGTGATTGGGAGCCAGTGGAGCCTGGCGAGGACTGTTGCGATGGGGCGACAAAGTTTTGTGCAGGTCAGAATCCGGGCAGCAGCGATTTGAGTGAGTTGAATTTTGTGTGAGGTGGAGCTGGGGAGACCAGCGAGGAGGGCATCGGAATAGTCCAGTCGGGAAGTGACGAAGGCGTGGACAGAGGGTTTCGGCTGCTGTGGGTGTGTGGTACAGACGGAGGTGGGCAAAGTGACGGAGGTGGAAGAAAATGCGGAGCACCAGCAAAGGCATGATGGAGAGAGAGAGAGAGCAGGGGAATGGGGTTAGAGTAGGGAACTCCAGGAGAGGAGAAAGCACCAGCCTCCCTGAACAGCAGTGCCCTGGAGTAAAGCAACAACAACAACAACAAGATTCCATTTATTGAGCGCCTTTCACGTCGGGAGGACGTCCCAAGGCGCTGTACAGTTGGGTCAGGACCCGAGCCTTGGGGGGAAATGGTCAGGGTGAGGGGAGGGAAGGGAGGGAGCGAGGAGGTGGGAGATGGTCGGGGTGAGGGGAGGGGAGGGACGGAGCGAGAAGGGGGGAAATGGTCAGGGTGAGGGGAGGGAAGGGAGGGAGCGAGGAGGGGGTAGAGAGTCGAGAGGGGAGCTGAAGGCACAGACGGTCAAAGAGAAAGGTCTTGAGACCGGCCTTGAAGGAGGAAAGGGAGGAGGCGAGGCGAAGGCACTGGGGGATAGAGTTCCAAAGCATCTTAAATCTGACAATAATTGCTGTATTGGCTGGCATTTTGTATCCAGATCACACGTTTATGAATCTCTAGGCTGCACCCCTCCTCTCACAATTCCTCTCCCCCTCACCCCATCGCAGCTCGCACCCCCCCCCCCCCCAATAGAAAGAGAAGCCAGCTTTCCTTACAGCTCTGCCTCTTTCGCTCCATGACTAATGGAGACGGGAAGAATTTGCTGTCTTAATTAAATTCAGGGGAAACGCTTTATTTAATTTGTCTACCAAAGCACAGGGCTGTTCCTGTTGTCTTGTCTTTCGGGAGTGTTTCCAGGTCTAATTTACCAACTTGATCCAATAAAAGACCAACCACGCTGAGACGTTAAACCGAACTCCTGCCTGTGCTCACAGTCCAGGCTGATGCTCCAATACAGCGCTGGGGGGGAGGGGGAGAGAGAGAGCACCAACTTGTCAGAGACGCCATCCTTCAGAGGGTTATTAAACCTCACTCCCTGACTATGCCCTGTTCAGGTGGATGTTAAAGATCTCCCGCAGCCTTATTGGGAAAAACAGAAGGGAGTCTCTCTCTCTCTCTCTCTCTCTCTCTCTCCCGGTGTCCTGCCCAACAATCTCCCCCAGATAAAATCACTCGTTCACTTCACAACTGTTTGTGGGACGTCGCTGTACGCAAATTGGCTGTGTGACAAAACACACAGTCACTGCACTTTACAGTAAATCCTGTGAAGCACTTTGAGACGCCCTCCCAGTCATATCTTTGAGATCTCAAAGCGCTTCACAGAATAGAGCTTAAAGCGGAGTGACTTTTTTTTGTGTGGGTGAAACGCAGCAGCCAATTGCGTACAGCAGTGTCCCACAAACAGTCATGGATTGAGTGACCAAATTATTATTATTACTTTTGAAGGTATTATTAACCCCGGAAAACGAACCTCCAGTAGACTAACAACTGGGTTCCTACTTACTGCTGGGTAAACAGAGGCGTGTGGAGTAAGGAAACTTACCAAAGGTTTCACCCTGCCCGGGAATCAAACCCGGGTCCTCTTTCTTGCGAGGCGAGAGCTCTAACCAATACGCTACAGGACTCTACAATTAATTAAACCTCACTTTGACTGTGCCCTGTTCAGGCAGATGTTAAAGATCTCCTGTGGAGCTATTGGAAAAGAGAAGGGAGTTTCTTTCTCCCCGGTTGCCTGGCCAACAATCCCCCAGATAAAATCATTCGCACACTTCATGGCTGTTTGTGAAACATTGGCTGCTGCATCTGCCCACAAAATACACAGTCACTACACTTTACAGTACAACAGCAACAAAAACAACTTGCATTTATACAGTCTCTTCACCCGGGTTAGCATCCCGGAGCTCTTGACAGTGGCGGAGTCTGACCTCGAGCCAGGGGGGAGAGGGAGGTAACCGTAAGCACTATCAAAAAGGAAGGTCTTTAGCTGGGATCTGAAAGTGGAGAGGGAGGGGCAAGTCGGAGGGATTGAGGGAGAGAGTCACAGAGCTTCGGGGTGTAGTGGCTGAAGACGCGGCCACCGATGGTGAAGCGGAGGGGACAAGGAACAAACAGGAGGCTGGAGCCAGCGGAGCTGAGGCAGTGGGTGGTGGAGTGGGGGCTAAGCAAATCGGAGAGGTAAGGAGGTGCGAGGGCATGAAGGGATTTGAAAACCAGGAGCCAGTGGAGCCTGGCAAGGGCTGGAATGATGGGGGCACAGAGTTTTGTGCGGGTGAGAATCTGGGCAGCGGAGTTCTGGGGTGGTTGTGGTAGGTTTAAGAGAGAACCCGAACCGATTAGGCGCAACCTTAAAGTATACCAGCGGAAACATAAACCAAAGTATAATAGGTCTAACTCCATTGGTGGGAGATAAGGAAACTAATATTGCTCATAAAGCAAAAGGGAAAGGTAACGAACAATGGAGCTGTGGTCGCATTAATGCAAGACGTCTGGCCAACAGATGAGCAACCTGGAAGGTCTTGCAAGAGGTGACAGATTGGACATTGTTAGCGTCACAGAGCCACGGTGGAATGATTCCAATCCTGAATCTGAAGGATGAATCTGGACATGAATCTGGAAGGATTCAATGATGCTACACAAGCTGCAGAAGTATTAAATTAGTTTTCTTTACCTGTAGGAGGTGCCGGTCCCGGTCTCTTGTTTGATCTGCCGGTTTAAGGCGTCCGCTGCTTTGCCCTTTGCAGGGGGGGTTGGAGCAGGGATTGGGGTGCCCTCCTCCCCCCCAGGCACATGGCCCTGGGCTCCCCGCTCTGGCTTGGGGATCCAGGGGTGATCTCTTTTGGGGATGGGCCAGGCTTTAAAATCCTTCTTGTACTGGCTCTCCTTCTCCAGGGGAATGTCGGCTGGGGTGTACTCCTGCTTGGGTTTACAGCTGGGCTCCGGACGCACCTTCCAAGCCCTGTAATCGTGTCTCATCACAGACTCCCTCCTCGAGCCGGGCGAGAGTCAGCCAGCGATGGGGGGACCTCCCCTGTGGCCTCGGAGCCAGCCTGTAACCCAACAACCACAGCAGCCATCAACCGGCTTCCTCACACCAACAACAACACCAACAACAAACCAACAACAACAACAATTTGAACGTGCTTATGCAGCGTCTTCCACGCAGGGCCAGCGTCTCAGAGCGCATAACAGTGGTGGAGCCTGACTCCGAGCCAGGGGGGGGAAGGGGGAAAATGGCCATAAACAAGGTCGAAGAGGAAGGTTTTCAGGCGGGACGTGAAAAAGGGCAGAGAGGGGGCAAGGCGGAGGGATTGAGGGAGAGCGTTCCAGAGTTTCGGGGCATAGTGGCTGAAAGCGCGACCTCTGATGGTGGGGTGGAGGGCGCGAGGGACGAGCAGAAGGCCGGGGCCAGTCGGCACAGCAACAACAGCAACAACAACTAACCACACACCAACTACAACAACTAACAACACACCAACAACAGCAACTAACAACACACCAACAACAGCAACTAACAACACCCCAACAACAGCAACTAACAACACCCCAACAACAGCAACTAACAACACCCCAACAACAGCAATAACACACCAACAGCAACAACACACCAAGAACAGCAACAACAAACAACGGCAGATAACAACACACCAACAACAGCAACTAACGACACATCAACAACAGCAACAACAACAAAAATTAGTATTAAAATTCTTGCATTTGGTATAACGCTTTATCACATCTTCGAGACATCTGAAAGGGCTTCGCAATATACTGTCAATTGAATTCACTGTATATTTTGTAGGCGAAACACAGCAGCCAATTGCACACAGCAGCGACCCACAAAACAGTCGTGGATTGAGTGACCAAATTATTATTATTATTTTAATTCACACCAATAACAACAACAACTTGCGCCCTTTATACAGCGCCCTTCACCCGGGGTAGCTCCTTGAATGCTTGACAGTGGTGGAGTCCGACCCCGAGCCAGGGGAAGAGGGAGCACGATCAAAAAGGAAGGTCTTTAGTTGGGATTTGAAAGTGGGTGAGGGATGAAGGGTCTGAGGCAGAGAGTTCCAGGGTTTCGGGGTGTAGTGGCTGAAGGCACGGTCACCGATGGTGGAACGGAGGGGACAAGGGACAATTAGGAGGCTGGAACCGGCCGAACGAAGGCAGCAGGTGGTGGAGTGGTGGGGTAAGCAAATTGGAGAGGTAGGGAGACGTGAGGGAATTAAGTGACTTGAATACGAATGAGAGGATCTAAAATTGATCCGTTTGGTGATTGGGAGCCCGCAATAACAAAGAAAAGGCAAAATACCGCAGATGCTGGAAATCTGAAATAAAAAGAAGTCGCTGGGAACACTGAACGCTGGGAACCTAAAACATTAACTCACTTTCCTCTGCGGTGCGAGGCAGTGGCAGAGCCGGGCGACGTTGCGGAGCTGAGGGAAGCCAGAGCGGGTCATGGAGCAGATGTGGGGTAGAAAGGAGGGTCAAACAAGACCCCAAGGTTCCGGACTGGCTTAGCAAGATGGAGTGTGCAACCATGGATGGTGATACTGTCAGCACCTGAGGTGTGGAGGCGCTGACGGGAGCCAATCAGGAGCACCTTGGTCTGGTTGACGTTCAACCAAAGAAAGTTAGCTGTCATCCAGGACTTGATGTCTGACAGTGGTCCTGGAGTCAAGGGTGGAGGTGGAGAGATACAGTTGGGTATCAACCGCAACCATGTAGAAGTTGAGGAACAGCACACGAGATGTTGCGGGGGCTAGAGGAGAAACCATTTGTGAGATGAAATGGAGGCGGTGTGAGGTGTACGCTCTGAACCAGTCAAGGACAGAATCATGAAGGTGAGAGGAGAGGTGGTGGATAGAGTGGTCAATGGTTTCGAAAGCAGCAGAGAGGTCAAGGAGTACAAGGAGTCAGAGGGATCCCTGGTCGCAAATGGAGAGAATGTCATTTGTCACTTTGACCAGGGCTGTTTCTGTGCTGTCAGTGGCACAGAAACCCGATTGGAGGGGTTCGTGAAGGGAGTGGCGAGAGACAAAGGAGCGAAGCAACAACTTATTCCAGGACCTTGGAGAGGAAAAGGAGGTTGGAGATGGGGCGGTAGTTTGAGAGCAGCGATGGGTCCAGGGAAGATTTTTTCAGAATAGTAGTGATGACAGCCATTTTTAAAGGGTGGAAACAATACCAGTGGATAGGGAGAGGTTTATGATGTCTGGGAGTAGAGGGGCAAGGAAGTCAAGCTGAGAGGTAAGGAGATGGGTAAGGATGGGGTCAAGGGAGCAGGTGGTCGGTTTCATGCGGGTTATTGTGGTGATGAGAGACAAGTTTAAAGGAGTGGAGGGAGGGATGGGTAGGGGCCAGGGTGAAAGGGGGAGATGGGGAGGGGGTAGCAGACGGATGGGCAGAGACAGCTGAGTGGATCCCCTCGACTCTTGGATTTGAGGAAGTCCAGCATCGCCTCACAGTTAGCATTTGAGGTGAGGATGAGTGAGGCATGAGAGGATAGGCGGAGGAGTTGGTTGGGTTGGAGAAGAGGAGCCTGGGGTTGTCCTCGGCCTCCAAGGTTGTCTTGGAGTAGAACGACGATTTGACAGAGGCGAGGGCGGAGCCGTAAGATTTGATAAGGTCCAGCCAGATCTGCCAATGGACTGTTAGGTTCGATTTAAGCCAAGTTAATTCAGTGGCATGCACCACAGAGGCACGTAGAGTAAGGAAACATGCCTAAGGTTTATCCCTGTCCGGAAATTGAACCAGGGTCCTCTCTCTTGTGTGGCGAGCATGCTAACCACTAGGCTACAGCACTCCCAACAACTGCTAACAGTACAGCAGCAACAACAACTTGCATTTATAATAATTTCTCCCTATTGACGCTATCAACCCCCTCCTCATTTTAAAACCTCTATGTGGTCACTCCCCACATTTATCTACAAATGCACAGTCACTACGCTTTACTGTAGCATATTAGTTAGAGCACTCGCAAGCAAAAGGACCCGGGTTCGATTCCCGGGTGAGGCAAAACCTCAGGCAAGTTTCCTTACTCCGGTAAGTAGGAACCTGGTAGTTAGTTGAATGGCCGATTGCTTTCTGGGAGGTCATAACCAAGGCAAAAGATATATATATTTTTGTGTTCGTCATTCAATAAAAACTGTTTGTGCGACACTGCTTGTGGCAATTGGTTGTTGTGTTTCGCCCACAAAATATACAGTCAATTCACTTTACAGGACATTCTGTGCAGTGCCTTGAAACATCTCAACAATATGAAGACCTTCATCACATGAAAGGATTATTATGATTATTATTACACAGCGCCTTTCACATCAGGAGGACATCCCAAGGATGTCAGGGATTTGGACCCGAGCTGGGGATTGGGATCAGGAGGGATGGAGGGCAGGGAGGGTGGGGGTAGGAAGGTGGACGAAGGCTCAGTCAAAAAGGAATGTCTTGATACAGGCCTTGAAGGCAAGGGGGCAAAGCGAAGAGACTGTGGGATGGAGTTCCAGAGGGGGTAACATTTATCCAGCGCCCTTTGCGCAGGTTAGCCGTGGGGCGGGGGGGGGGAAGCACAGTCAAAGGGAGGGGGCAAGGTGGAGGGATAGAGGAAGAGAGTTCCAGAGTTTCGGGGCGTACTGGCTGAAAGCACGGGGACCGATGGTGGAAAGGAGGAGACGAGGGACATGGAGGAGGCCGGAGCCAGCCGAGCGGAGGAGTGTGGTGGGGGTGTGGGGGGTAAGCAGGTCGGAGAGGTACTGAGGTGCCGGGGTGTGAAGGGATTTGTAGACGAGTGAAAGGATCTTGAAATACCAGCACCAGTTACTGAGGCTTCAGTCAGCAAACTCGGCCACACCACACCCTCAGTAGGAGCTGAGGAGAGCCACGGTTTGTCTAATAAAAACTGGCTCCATTATACAGACTGCAGACAGCTATTAGTTTTCATAGAGCGACCCTTCTCCCCCCACCCAGTAATATTTTATTTTATTCCAGTGACTGAGGGGGAGAGCTGCTAAATTCTTCCTGTTTTGAATAAAGAAAAATCCCACATTCCAAACAAAGGTAAAATCAATGATCAATTATTTATCCTGGTTTATTCATCAATCCCCCCCTCCCCCCACCCGGGTGTCTGTCTGTCTGTCTGTCTGTGGGGATGACTGTCTGGATGGGATTTTTCTGTGTGTGTGAGAGAGAGACAGTGAGATACAATGTGTGTGTGTGTGTGTGTGTGAGAGAGAGAGAGAAAGATAGTGAGATAGTGTGTGTATGAGAGATAGTGAAATACAGTGTGTGTGAGAGACAGGGAGATACAGTGCGTGTGTGTGAGAGATAGTGAGATACAGTGCGTGTGAGAAAGATAGTGAGATACCGTGTGTGTGTGTGTGTGTGAGAGAGATAATGATACAGTGTGGGTGTGTGTGAGAGATCGTGAGATATTGTGTGTGTGAGAGAGATCGTGAGATACAGTGTGTGTGAGAGATAGTGAGATAGTGAGTGTGAGAAATAGTGAGATATAGTGTGGGTGCGTGTGAGAGAGATAATGAGATACAGTGTGTGTGAGAAAGATAGTGAGATACCGTGTGTGTGAGAGAGAGATCATGATACAGTGTGGGTGTGTGTGAGAGATCGTGAGATATTGTGTGAGAGAGATCGTGAGATACAGTATGTGTGTGCGAGATAGTGAGATAGTGAGTGTGAGAAATAGTGAGATATAATGTGTGTGTGTGAGAGAGAGGTAGTGAGATACAGTGTGTGTGAGAGATAGTGAGATACAGTGTGTGTGAGAGATAGTGAGATACAGTGTGTGTGAGAGAGATAGTGAGATATAGTGTGTGTGAGAGATAGTGAGATACAATGTGTGTGTGTGAGAGAGATCATGATACAGTGTGGGTGTATGTGAGAGATCGTGAGATATTATGTGTGTGAGAGAGATCATGAGATACAGTGTGTGGTAGAAATAGTGAGATACAGTGTGTGTGAGAGAGATAATGAGATATAGTGTGCGTGAGAGAGAGATAGATAGTCTGTGTGTGAGAGATAGTGAGATACAGTGTGTGTGAGTGAGAGAGATTATGAGATACAGTGTGTGTGTGTGAGAGATAGCGAGATACGGTGTGTGTGAGAGATAGTGAGATATAGTGTGTGTGAGAGAGATAGTGAGATAGTGTGTGTGAGAGATAGTGAATAGTGTGTGTGAGAGAGATAGCGAGATACAGTGTGTGTGAGAGAGATAGTGAGATACAGTGTGTGTGAGAGATAGTGAGATACAGTGTGTGTGAGAGAGATAGTGAGATACAGTGTGTGTGAGAGAGATAGTGAGATACAGTGTGTGTGAGAGATAGTGAGATACAGTGTGTGTGAGAGAGATAGTGAGATACAGTGTGTGTGAGAGAGATAGTGAGATACAATGTGTGTGAGAGAGATAGTGAGATACAGTGTGTGTGAGAGAGATAGTGAGATACAGTGTGTGTGAGAGAGATAGTGAGATACAATGTGTGTGAGAGAGATAGTGAGATACAGTGTGTGTGAGAGAGATAGTGAGATACAATATGCGAGAGAGAGAAAAAGAGAGATACAGTGTGTGTGACAGACAGTGAGATACTGTGTGTGAGAGAGACAGGGATATACCCAGGTTTGTGTATGATAATGAGATGCACTATGTGTGTGTGTGTGTGTGTGTGTGAATGTGTCTGCGGGGTGTGGGGCAATTAAGCTGCTATTGTTCAGGACTGGAATCCAAACTGTGGTGGTTTCCTCTCTGTCTCATTCTCTCTGCCTATTGCAGGGAACAGGTAGAGATGGGGAGAGTGAGAGAGACAGAGGGGATGCAGGAGAGAAGGGAAACATGTAATAATAATATAACAATAATCCTTGCGTTCGATATAGCGCCTTATCATGTCTTTGAGACGTCTCAAAGCTCTTCACAGAATGCACTGTCAAGTGAATTGATTGTATATGTTTTAGGCGAAACGTCAAACATTAATAAATGCAAGAAGGGTGTGGGGAGAGAGAGAGAGAGAGGGAGAGAGAGGGAGGGGAGGCGAGGCTAGACAGACGCCCAGAAACACGTCTGCCAAAGCCATGACCCAAAGGAATTAGAACAGAAAAGACATCCTTAAATGTGCATTTACGTTTTCAGTGTGTGAATCCTACAATGGACAGATTGCATTATTGGAGGGTGTGGGGTTCTGTATACGAGTGTGTCTGTGTGCTGGGAGGTGGGGGTGCGGGAGAAGAGAGCTTTAATTAAAGACTGAGGCGATTATATCGCCTTGATAGAAAATTCCCAGTCCATTCATCACACGAACCAGGGTGTGCATTCTGGGGGAGGGGTGTGTGTGTGTAACAAATGGTATTTACACACACACACACACAAGAGTTCTAACCAGGAAAGTCAGTCTCCTTTTTAATTCTGTGGGTTTTGGTTTTTTTTGTTTGGGGTGAAAGAGAGAGAAAGAAACGCCTTTGCAAAACAAAATATATTTCCTAAACATAATATATACAAATATACAGACTATACACGCACAATATATATGTATTGATGCAACAATATGTATTATATATAAACACACATACAATATATACATACACTATATATAAACATGCAATTATAAATGTGTGTATCATATATGTATTTAATGCGTGTGTGTATACATACACAATAAGCACATACATATACACAAGATAGGCAAGATGTATATAAATGTAATATATATATATACACACAAGTTATGTATTGTATATGCAGATATCTATACACACACAATGTATAAATATGCACTATATATTTATATGTTTAAATGATAATATAAACATGAAGATATATACTTAAGAGGAACATATATACACAGACACATATAACATGCATCTACATATACATATACACACACATACAATATGTATCTACATACCCACGTGATATGTATCTACATACAGATACACATACAACATGCATTTATACATAAGATGTATCTCTCTATATATATATTCACACATACATACACACACTATAAAAAGACATAAAACGGTACCTCGGTCGCCTTGGCAACAGCATCCTGGCTGGCTCTGCTGGGATGTGTGTCAGCGCCTGGGGGCCGGGGCTGAGGCGGGGGCTCGGTCACGTCCGAGTACTTGGTGTAGACCAAAGGCACAGCGATGTCCGCCTTGTCCAACTGGCTCCAGAAGCGAGCGATGCAGCAAGCTCGACTGATACATGGCCAAGCCATGGTCCCAGCCCAGCCTTGAGCACCCCAACCTCAAGCTCAACCTCGCCCTCTTACACCCAACCCCCAACCACTGGCCAATAAAACCCAGCACTGTCCTAGGATGAGCAATACTCTATCACACCTCTTTCTCCCTCCCTCCCTCTCTCTCTCTTTTTTTCTTTCTGTGATACAGATTTCTCTCTTCCCCCCCCCCTCCCCCCCACCACCCCCTTCTCTCCTTTCCTCTCCTCGCCCCCCCCCCCAAAAAAAAAAAAAATATGCCCTGAATCAGTGAGAGCTTCTCCTGTTCACCAGACGAGACGAGACAAAAAGAGGGAGGGGGAAGAGGGAGAAGTGGCTGATGAGAGGGAGAAGGTGGAGAAGGAAATGGACTAGAAAATGATTGAGGTCGTCATTGTTTGCCACCTGCAAATCCACCCTCAACCCCCCCCCACACACCCTAACCCCCCCCCCACCCCCCCAAACACACACACACACACACAAAGCCTCCCGCACGCAACACCAGCGTCTTAAGGATGGGTTAGATGCAGATATATTTGTAAATCTCTGTGACTGTCTATCCGTCTCCTCCCCTCTCTCCCTCGCTTTCACCCCCAATGTCCTTTCCCAGACTTGTCACCACGCCGGCGTGTAAAACTGCAGAGGGCGGGTGGGTGGTGGGGGGGGGGGAAACAGGCTGTGTCGTTAACTGTTTCATTGCTGGAGCCACATAACTGCAAATCCGCCTCTCTATTCCCCACAAACCCTTTAAATCATTCATCCAGCCATTACTCCTCATTGGGTGAAATTCCGGTCAGCCTCAGCCCCGCTCACACATGTACAAGACACAGTCACTCGACTTTACTGCACTATATTACAGAAGTCCTGAAGATCAGTCCTGTAGTGCGCTCGCCTCGCAAGTGAGAGGACCCGGGTTCGATTCCCGGGCAGGGCGAAACCTTAGGCAAGTTTCCTTACTCCACACATCTGTTTACCTGGCAGTAAGTAGGAAACCGGTTGTTTGTCGATTGGCAGATCGCTCTGTTGGAAAAATTAAGGGAGTTTCTCTCTCTCTCTCTCCCAGTGTCCTGGCTGCTAATTCCCCAGATACAACCCATCATTCACTTCACAGCTGTTTGTGGGGATGTTGCTGTGTGCAGACAGGTTGCCAGATTCATCTACGCACAGTCACTACACTTAATAGTTCACTGTTCGGATAAAGTGATGGAACAGGTTTCAGAGGCTGAAAGGGCTCCTTCTCATCCTTTGTTTTGATGCTGATATTGCCCAGGATTACTGCGGTCCCACCACTGGTTCCTGAGCCAGGCAGGGCCGTCGTATTCCAGGGCACTCACTGCTGATGACAGGACAGGACAGCCCGGCCTGGCTCATCGGCAGGACCTGGAAGGGCAGACCAGTAACTGGGGGCAGGAAGTCATCCCAATCGGCTCCTATTAACCCTGCAAACCGAAGCCCTAATGGGTAGGGTGGTCCTAGCTGGACAAGCATTCCATTCCCACAATCTATCTCTGGGATAACTATGTGTAGGTGGGACGTATGGAATTCTCAGTGTGGTTTGGAGACTCTTAAGCACGGTGATGGGTTTCCGCATGTGTCATAGACACTCGGTCGACTAACAAGAAATCACGCTCCTACCTCTACCCTCCCTGCCCACCATCCCTCTTGATTCTAACCCCCAGCTCGGCTGCCAAACCCTTGACTATCCAGCACCTTGGGGGTCCTCCCGACGTGAAAAGTGCTGCGTGAATGTAATTTGTTGCTGGTGAAATTGAGGAGCTGAGCGCCAGGATGTGATTGACGTGGTTTTCCCATCGGTCCAGCCCGGAATTGGCATTTATTGGGAAAAGGGAATAATGTGAATGGAATTTCAGTCAGGTTATGAATTATTGAAAGTAATTGATTTCACCTTTTGCAGATGGCTAGTCTTAAAAGGGCAGGCCCGCCATACACGCTGAGTGCAATCTGCGTCTGGAGTGAACACTGGGTGAGTGGATCTCACTTAAATCCCGGCAGAACTCGAAGACGGGCTCAGTCTTTCAGCCTCTCTCCTCTGAGTCAGGAGATTGTGGGTTCGAACCCCCCCCATCCCAACTCCTCCTCCCAAAGGGGAGTCTGAGCTCACAGTCCAGGCTGATGACCCAGCGCAGCGCTGGGGGGAGAGAAAGCGCCACATTTTCAGAGACGTCGTTCTTCGGATGAGACGTTAAACCTGTCTGTGCCCTGTGGAGGTGGATGTTAAAGATCTGTTTCCCCAGCAGTAAGTAGGAACCCGGTTGTTAGTTGATCGGCAGATCACTTTTTCGGGGGTAATAATTCCTTCAAAACAAATAATAATAAATCGGTCACTCAATCCACAGCTGTTTGTGGGGACGCTGCTGTGCACAATTGGCTGCCGCGTTTTGCCCACAAAAATGCACAGTCAATTCACTTTACAGTATATCCTGTGAAGCGCTTTGAGACGTCTCGAAGACATGATAAGGTGCTGTATGAAATGCAAGGATTATTATTTATTATTATCTCGCTGTCGGGAAAAGAGAAGGGAGTTTCTCTCTCCCTCCTGGTGTCCTGGCCAACAATCCGCAGATAAAAATCACTGGCTGCTGTGTTTGCTCACAAAATACACAGTCACTACATCTGACAGTAAAATCCTACAAAGCACTTTGAGATGACTCGACAAATTTATCAATAAATAATTAATTTGTTCCATATTGAAGTGAAGGCAGTGGGGGTGGGCGGGTTATAATGATGATGGTGTTCCTAGCGCCTTATCACGACTTTGTGACATCTCTAAGAGCTTCACCAAATATACTGTAAAGCGAATTGACTGTGCATTTTTGTGGGCAAAACGCAGCAGACAATTGCGCACAGCAGCGTCCCACAAACGGTCGTGGTTGAGTGACCAAAATTGAGTGGGTTGTTCAGGAATAAAACAAGCCCTCGGTAATGGAGGGTGTGCTGGAGGGGAGAGCAGGGGAGGGGTCGATGGGGGAGTGGGGCGGGGCTCAGGCAATGGTGGAGTGGGGGTATCAGGTAATCGGGGAGTGGGGGGGGGTCAGGCAGTGGGGCAGTAGGGGCTCAGGCAGTGGGGCAGTGGGGGGGGTCAGGTGATGGGCGAGTGGGAGTGTCAGGCGATGGGGGAGGGGGGGGGTCAGGTGTTGGGCAGTTGGTGGTTCAGGTGATGGAGAAGTGGCAGGGTCAGCCGATGGGGGAGTTGGAAGGGGGGGGTCAGGCGATGGAGGAGTTGGAAGGGGTCAGGCGATCGGGGAGTTGGAGGCGGTCAGGCGATGGTGGAGGGGAGCGATCAGGCAATGGGGCAGTGGGGTGGGTCAGGCGATGGTGGAGGGGAGGGTTAGCAAGCGATGTGGGAGTGAGAGAGGTCAGGCGATGGTGTAGGGGTGTCAGTTAGTGAGGACCCCCAGGCTGGGTGTCATCGCATGGCTCACACTGAGCTGTCACCCCTGGCAACCTGTACTCACCATTAGTCCCACATATAACTAATTCCCACTTAATGATTGGTTTCCATCTGGTGGGGAATGGGAGCAGCTGTGTTTTCTTTGCTAATGGAGAAATAGCATCTCTTTTTCACTCCCTCCTTCCTTCCCCTCCTCTCTATTCCTTTTTTTCTCTCTATCCCCTCTCCCTTCCCCTGCTCTCTTTCCCTCTTCCTCCTTCCCCTCTCTTTTTTCTATTCCTCTTTCTCTCTATCCTCTCTCTTTTCTCTTTCTCTCTCTCCGTTCCCTCTATTTCTCACTTTCTATTCCTCTCTTTCTCATCCTCTCGCTCATATCCCTCTCTCTTTTTCTCTATACCATCTCTTGCTCTCTCTATCCTCTCTTTTCCTCCTCTCTCCCTCTTTCTCTCCCCGTTCCCACTTTTTCTCTTTTTATTCCTCTTTCTCCTACTCTCCCTTCCTTCACTCATCCTCTCTTTTTTCTTTATACTCTTTCTCGATCCTGCCCTCCGCAACCCCCCCTCTTTATCTGTCTGTTCTGTCTGTCTAGCTAGATAGCTAGAGAGAGAGTGTGTTGGGGGTGACAGAGGGATGGAGTGTTTGAAGTTAACACCAACCGAGGGAGAGAGGGGAGCGATCCCTCCCCCCAAAAAATTGGTCACTCAATCAACGACTGTGTGTGGGACACAGCTGTGCGCAATTGGTTACCACGTTTCACCCACAAAATACAGTCATTACAGTATATTCTGTGAAGCGCTTTGAGACGTCTCATAGACATAATAAGGCACTCTATCAAATGGAAGGATGATTATTATTGTCACCCTCCCCTCAAACCACTGAACTCAGGCTCAGTGATCCAGGATTACTGTTGATTACACCACAGGCCCTTAAGTCTTTCCTCATTGATCGTCCTTCAGTAAGGGAGCATCTCAAAACCTACCGCCCCGACCCCCAACGTGAAATGTCCAGGCTGGCACCCGATGTACTGTGGGGTGAGCAACGGTTAATCCGGGGTCGGTGGTGTTGGGGGGGGGGGGTGGGGGGGAGAAGAAGAAGAATCTTTGCACTTGACACAGTGCCTTTTACGTCAGGAGGACGTCTCAAAGCGCTTCACACGATTCTCTGTAACGTGTAGTGACTGTGCGATTTGCACAAGGACATAGTAGTCAATTTGCGCACAGCAACGTCCCCGCAAGCAGCCATGAAGTGAACGAGTGATTTTATCTGGGGGATTGTCGGCCAAGACACCGGGAGAGAGAGAAACTCCCTTCTCCTTTCCAACAGCAATGCAGAGAATAGGGCACAGACAGCAGGGAGTGAGGCTTAATGTCTCATTTACAGTTTAAGAACTTGCAAACGTCAGGACTTGGAATCATACAGTCTAAGCTGATCCTCCAGTACAGCACTGGGAGGGAAGTGTTGCATTGTCAGAGGAGCCTTATTGGGAGTTAAAGTCTATGTGTGTGTAGGAATATGTGGGTTTATGCGCGCGTGTGTGTGTATGTGTGTGTCCGTGAGTGTGTTTGTGCATGTTTTTTTTGGGTCAGCCGGGTGTCTGACACGTGCGGAAACCTATTATACTTAAGAATCTCCAAACCAAACTGACAATCCTACGCATCCCACTTACACATGGAAATCTCAGAGATAGATTGTTGAAATACAATGAACACTCTCTCTCTGAAGGGACGCCTCCTGCTTACTTAATTCCGGAAAGTATTTGGCGCAGTGAATTATGAAATTATTATGAAAGCATTATGAGTGAATGTGTGTGTGAGGGAATGTGTAAGTGTGTGTGTGAGTATGTGTGTGAGTGAATGAATATGTAAGTGAGTGTGAGAGTCAGTGTGTGCATGTGGGTGTCAGTGAGTGAATATGTGTATGTGTGTGTAAGTGTGTGTGAGTGAATGAGTGTATGTATGTGATTGAGTTAATGTGTGTGTGTGGGGGGGATGTTGCCACATTTCCTTAAGCCGGTTGCTGGAGACTTTGCCCTATGAAATATGAGTGAGTGAGAGAGTGAAAGAGTGTCTCATTCAGTCACTGAGCTCAGTGCTGAGAGCTTGTCCACGATGTGCATCGAGTTTGCTCCCCTCAGGTTGCCCTTGGCTCGGAGAATCCAGACCTTGGCCGTTCTACAATGGGTCTTCTCCTTCCTCGGTCTGGGTGAGACAATCCTCTTAGTCTTCCCCCTCCTCCCCACCTCTCTCTCCGACCTCCCTCTCTCCACCGCCCCCCCCCCCCCCCCCCACTTCCCTAATTGAGATCTCCCTGTGGAGTCACGTAAGCGTAGTGGTTAGCGCGCTCACCTCACAAGCGAGAGGATTCGGGTTCGATTTCCAGGCGGGAAAGGGCAAGTTTCCTTACTCCACACGCCTCTCCACTTGAGCTAGCAGTGAGTAGGAACCCGGTTGCTAGTCGATTGGGAGATCGTTTTTCCGTGAGTAATAATCCTTTTAAAAAAAACAATCTTAAGAATAATAAATTGGTCACTCAACCCCTGACTGTTTCTGGGACACTGCTGTGTGCAATTGGCTGCCATGTTGTGCCTACAAAATACACAGCCACTCCATTCTACGGTATATCCTGTGAAGCGCTTTGAAACGTCTCAAAGACATGATAAGGCGCTGTATCAAATGCAAGATTATTATGTGGACGAGATGTTGTAAACACAAGGTAAAGGGGGGGGTGGGTAAGGGCCTGATCTTAACGACAGGTCCAGTATGGTGAGATGTAATTGAGGCTCCAGTGCAGGGATGGGTTGGGGGTGGGTGGGGGGAGAGAGATAGCGTCACATTGTCAGAGACGTCATCATTCAGGTTAGACATTAAACCTCAGTCCCCATCAGTGCCCTGTTCAGGTGGACGTTAAAGATCTCCCGTGGCGCTGTTTGAGAAGAGAAGAGAGTAACTAACACCGCACTTTATAGTAATAATCATTACGTTCGACCTTTCTCAAAGCACTTTGCAGGATTCACTGCACAGTGTCGTGACTTTGTGTTTTGTGGGTCATGTAAGGTTTGCCGTGATGTAAGGAACTGATGGAGTGGAACAGGCTGGATGGGCTGAATGTCCTCCTCCCCACCCTGTCCTCCTCTCTCTCTCTCTACAAAGGAGTGATTTAGTTGTCGCAAACTTCCTGTCTCGATGACACAGCTTAAAACACACCCGATTCATCACTTCTGCAAAACCTGTAGCCTAGTGGTTAGAGCACTCGCCTCACAAGCGAGAGGACTTGGGTTTGATTCCCAGCGAGGCGAAACCTTAGGCAAGTTTCCTTACTGCACACACCTCTGTTTTACCGAGCAGTAAGTAGGAACCTGGTTCTTAGTTGATTATAGTTCACTTTGAGGGGTTAATAATCCCTTTGCAAAATTTTTTTTTAAAAAACGGTGATTTGGTCACTCAATCCACGACTGTTTGTGGGACGCTGCTGTGCGCAATTGGCTGCCGCATTTCACCCACAAAATATACAGTCACTTCACTTTACGGTATATTCTGTGAAGGGCTTTGAGACGTCTCGGTGACGTGATAAGGCACTGTAACAAATACGAGGATTATTATTATTGTTGTGATCATTTCACTGAACCGATCAGCTGTTATTCCAAAGGCCCATCTCTCTCACAGGCTTTAACAGAGGGAGAAATCAACGAACATCTCGAAATTCACCCCAGTCTCAACCCCGAGACCATTCCAACAATCTATTCTGGGATTTTCAATGTGTAGGTGGGATGCATGAAATTCTCAGCTTTGTTTAGAGACTCTTAAGCACGGCGATGGGTTTCCGTGTGTCAAACACCCGGTTGACCAAAAAAAAATGTCGAGGTCGTTGATGATAATGACGATGTTGATTTTGAAGATGTTTTTGATGATGTTGTTGCTGTTGTTGAAGATTTTCTTAGTGTTTCAGAGAGTTTAGACGTTTGGCAAATTCTTAAAACACACTCTTAATCTTGAAGTCGTTCATCTGTTAAAAGTTTCTATTAAGGAATAACAGAAAAAAGACCAAAGTGAAAGTTAAGACTCAATTCAATGATTTGCCAAACACTGAAATACCACATAAATAAATCTAGACGCTGGTGTGATTTCTCTCCAGGAGTTGTCCTGCCTTCCGCACCTTATATTGTAATCAAACAAACCATTACTACTTTTATCTGATACAGAGGGAGTGTGGGAGGGTTTGGTTCTGAGCTCAGGAGAGGCAGGTGAACAGACAGTTCAGATTGAATGACTTTCCCCAAAGACTGTAGTGATAGTGTGGGGAACTGAGGCAGATTGCATTTGCTGTGTGTGCTTCTTATTGCTGACCTGGGAGTGTGGACATACAGTGTAGATGGAGCTTCACTGCATCTCTAACCCTGACCTGGGAGTGTGGATGTACAGTGTAGAGGAAGCGTTACTGTGTCTCTAACCCTGACCTGGGAGTGTGGACACACAGTCTAGAGGGAGCTTTACTGTATCTCTAACCCTAACCTGGAAGTGCGGACGCACTTGCCTAAGGTTTCGCCCTGACCCGAAGAGTTGCGAGGAAGAAATTTAGAATTATTATTATTTGTATGTCAGCCTGGCTCAGTCTCTCACACTCTTACATCTGAATCAGAAGATTGTTGGCCCAAACCTCACAATGGGGGTTTTGAGATCACTGTCACAAGCAGCTGGAAAGCTTGCCAGACAGCGCTATCAATGGCAGGCTATGTGGTTTCAGCTGGATAGACTCCAGCAGTTATCCCAACACAAACTCTGGGGTCCATCAACAAGTCTTGGCTCTTGCCAACCTGCACCTAATACTTTCCGGAATTAGATAAGCAGCATGTGTCCCACCAGGGAGAGAGAGTGTGTGTATATTCTATTCCAAAAATCTATCTCTGGGATTTCCATGTGTAGGTGGGATGCAGGGAATTCTCAGCTTGGTTTGGAGACTCTTAAATATGGTGGTGGGTTTCCACGTCTGTCAGCGGCTGACCGAATAAAAAATGAGACGTTAAACTGAGCTCCTGTCTGCGCCCCGTTCCGGTGGACATTAAAGATCTCCTGCGGTGCTATTGGGAAAGAGGAGTTTCTCTCTCTCTCTCTCTCTCTCTCCCCTGGTATCCTGCCAAAACAAATGCCCTACAACCCTTGAGATAAAACTCACTCTAGGCTGTAGGTGTTATGTTGATTGAGAAGTGAAATTGCTGAGACAGCATTTTAGACGGACCTGTGAGACCCTTGAGATTGCCTGACTCAGTCATTGATAACACAGGGAGAGCTATTGTAGATAGGGTAGAGCAGTCAGTGGTTAGAGCACTCGCCTCGCAAGCGAGAGGACCTGGGTTCGATTCCTGGGCAGGGCAAAACGTTGGGCGAGTTTTCTTACTTCACACACCTGTTTACCCAGCAGTAAGTAGGAACCCCGATTGTTAGTTGATTGATGAATTGTTTTTTCGGGGGTAATATCCCCTTTGAAAAAAATTATAAATTGGTCATTTCAATCCACGACTGTTTAGTGGGACACCAATTGGCTGCAAATTCACTTTACGGTATATTCTGTGAAGTGCTTTGAGATGTCTCAATGACGTGATAAAGGCACAATATCAAATACAAGGATTATTATTATTATTCTGTGTGTGTGCGCCTCTCTCCCTGGGAGATAAGGAGCTCAGCAATGTGGGCTGTGAAGGAGGAGGGCTTAGGTTAAGGAGAGAAAAGATTCTGTCACAGAACACAGTGTGAGGCCTTCTTGTTGTATGTCAGCGGTGCTCAGCTCTTTACTCTATTCACATTAATTTGTGCCATGTTTACAGCTTCTCAATACGTCAATGCTTAATTAATTATTATTATTTTGAACAATAATGATAACCTTTGCATTCGGTAGAGCGTATTATCAAATCAAAACACCTCAAAGTCCTTAATGGGTCTGATAAAGCAGAGGTCTAACCAGCTAAAACCGCATAACACTGTCTGGCCAAGCTTTCCCCAGCGAGGACCATGCTATCCGTTAGGGCTTTGTTAGGGCAGGAGCTGAGTGGGTGGATTCCCTGTCCCCAGTGACTGGTCTGCCCTTCCAGGTCCTGCCGATGTGCCAGGCTGGGATGCGCTGTCATCAGCGGTGAGTGCCCTGGAATACTGAGGACCTGCCTGGCTCATGAGCCGGACAAGAGACCGCCACAGAGGGCTGGCTCCATTCCGACATTCCTTCGCCAGGCATGTCACCTCGGAGCCAGTTCAGCTCCACTTAGCTCCCTCTCCCGAGTCCGTCCTTCATGGGATACGCTGTAAATTGTAATGACTGTGTTTTCTTGTAGGTGAACCCGGCAGCCAATTTGCACATAGCGGCGTCCCCACAAACAGCCATGAAGTGACCAAAACAATTGTATTTGGGGGATTGTCGGCCAGGACACTGGGAGAGAAAGAGAAACTCCCTTCTCTTTTCCTGACAGTGCCACGGGAGATCTTTAACATCCACCTGGGCGAGGCGCAGCTCGGTTTAATATTGAAAGACGGCGTCTCTGATAATGGCCTGTCACCCCCAGCAACGCACTGGAGGTTCACCCTGGCTTCCTGCCATGAGTTTTGTGATAAACACGAAACAAGAGGATAATAGTTTCAAGCACCAAGTAGAAAATCCCAAATAAAAACCTCTCCTCACAATGCATATCCCCCCAAAAAATGGTGGCGCTGGGATTTGATAACAACAACAACAACAACAACAACAAGATTCCATTTATAGAGCGCCTTTCACGTCAGGAGGACGTCCCAAGGCGCTGCACAGTTGGGTCATGACCCGAGCAGGGGGGAAATGGTCAGGGTGAGGGGAGGGAAGGGAGGGAGAGAGGAGGGGGAAATGGTCAGGGTGAGGGGAGGGAAGGGAGGGAGCGAGGAGGAGGAAGAGAGTCGAGAGGGGAGCTGAAGGCACGGTCAAAGAGAAAGGTTTTGAGACCGGCCTTGAAGGAGGAAAGGGAGGAAGCAAGGCGAAGGCACTGGGGGATGGAGTTCCAGAGCCTGGGGGCTGAGAGGCTGAAGGCCCGACCACCGATGGTAGGGCGGTTGGGGCGGGGGACGTGGAGCAGACCGGAGCCAGAGGAACGGAGGGTACGGGCAGGTAGGTAGGGGGATAGTAGGTTGGAGAGGTAGGAGGGAGCAAGGCCGTGAATGGCCTTGTAGGTGAGGATGAGGATCTTGAAATCAATCCTCTGGGGGATGGGGAGCCAGTGGAGGCGAGCGAGGGCGAGGGGGAGGGTGAGGGCGAGGGTGGGAGTGATGTGATCGCGAAGCCTGGTGCGGGACAGTACACGAGCTGCAGAGTTCTGAATGACCTGCAGCTTGTGGAGGGAGGTGGCGGGAAGGCCGGCGAGGAGAGAGTTCCCATAGTCCAGCCTTGAGGTGACAAAGGCGTGAACCAGGGTTTCAGCAGCGTGAGGGGTGAGGTAGTGCCGTAATCTGGCGATATTCCGGAGGTGATGGAAGGCGGTGCCAGTTGTGGTGCGGATGTGAGGGAGAAAGGACAGCTCAGGGTCGAACAAAACGCCGAGGTTCCTGACTGGCTTTGAGAGGTGGAGAGTGCAGCCTTGGATGCTGATGGTGTCAGCGCCTGAGGTGCGGAGGCGCTGACGTGAGCCAATCAGGAGGGCCTCGGTTTTTCGCACGTTGAGCTGAAGAAAGTTGTCTCTCGTCCAGGACTCGATGTCGGACAGGCAGGCTGTCAGGACATCGGTGGTCGTGGAGTTGAGAGTAGAGGAGGAAAGGTAGAGTTGGGTGTCATCCGCATACATGTGGAAGTTAACCCCATGTTTGCGGATGATGTCACCAAGGGGGAGCATATAGAGGGTGAAGAGGAGGGGACCGAGGACAGAGCCCTGAGGGACACCACATGAGACAGTACGGGGGGTGGAGGAGAAGCCATTCGTTGAGACGAAGTGAAGACGGTGGGAAAGGTAAGAGCTAAACCATTCAAGGACAGTGCCTTGAAGGTTGAGGTGGGAGGACAAGCGGTGGAGTAGGATAGCGTGGTCGACCGTATCGAATGCTGCCGATAGGTCGAGGAGGACGAGGAGACAGAGGGAGCCCTGGTCACAGATGGTCAGGATATCATTGGTGACCTTGACCAGGGCAGTTTCTGTGCTATGGGCAGCACGGAAACCTGACTGAAGGGGTTCAAAAAGAGAATGGGTGGAAGGAAAGAGCGCAGTTGGGAGGCGACAACTCTTTCCAAGACCTTGGAGAGAAAGGGGAGGTTGGAGATGGGCCGGTAGCTTGATAGCTGCGACGCATCAAGGGAGGGTTTTTTCAGGATAAGAAACAATAACAACAAATTACCTTCTGCGGTGCCTTTCATGCGGGGAGGCGCTGGACAGTCAGGGATTTGGAGCCAAGCTGGGGGTTGGGATGGGGGGGGGAATAGAAAGAAAAAGTGGGAGGGTGGGGTTCAGCACTATTGTCGTCGTTGTTGTTCCTCATCAAATCCCATCATCGCCAATTTTGTTTTCACTCTTTGTGATAATTGTTACATAACATACCGTATGACCCCCTCTCCTCCCCTCCCGCCCCTCTCCTCCCCCTCGCCCACCTCTTCCCCCTCTCCTCCCCCTCCTTTCCTCCCCCTCGCCCACCTCTGCCCAGCCTCCTCTCTCCCCCACCTTTACCCCTCTCCCACTCCCCCGTCTACACCTCCCTCCAGAACCCCTTCTCCCCCCGTCTCCGCAGCTCCCTCTCCCCAGCCCCCTCTCTCCCCCACTCCCGACTCTCCCACCCTCCCCGTCTCCCCCCTTCTCCAGCCCCCTCTCTCTCCCCCCCCCTCCCCAGCACCCCCTCTCCCCTCCTCCACCCCCCTTCTCGCCCCCCCATCTCCCCTCCATCTCTTCCCCTCCCATCCCTCCCTCTCTCCCCTCCCTGGTGTGAGGTTGCGTTTTGTACGTTATGTTATATAGGTCATTCAGAACTCTGCAGCTCGTGTACTGTCCCGCACCAGGCTTCACGCCCACATCAGTCCCACCCTCGCTCGCCTCCACTGCTCCCTATCCCCCAGAGAATCCAATTCAAGATCCTCCTCCTCACCTACAAGGCCATTCACGGCCTCGCTCCCTCCTACCTCTCCGACCTACTATCCCCCCACATACCTGCCCGTACCCTCCATTCCTCTGGCTCCAGTCTGCTCCACATCCCCCGCCCCAACCGCCCTACCATCGGTGGCCGGGCCTTCAGCCTCTCAGCCCCGAGGCTCTGGAACTCCATCCCCAGTGCCTTTGCCACTTCCTCCATTTCCTCCTTCAAGGCCGGTCTCAAGACCTTTCTCTTTGACCATGCCTTCAGCTCCCCTCTCGACTCTCTACCCCCTCCTCGCTCCCTCCCTTCCCTCCCTCCCCTCACCCTGACCATTTCCCCCCAATGCTCGGGTCCTGACCCAACTGTCCAGCGCCTTGGGACGTCCTCCCGACGTGAAAGGCGCTCTATACATGCAATCTTGTTGTTGTTGTTGATGCTGTATGTTAATTTTATGCTTTGTTTTTCCCTCCCCCTCCCTCCAAAACTCCTCCCCCTCCCTCCAAAACCCCTCCCCCTCCAAAACCCCTCCCCCTCCTAAAACCCCTCCCCTCCCAAACCCCTCCCCCTCCTAAACCCCTCCCCCTCCAAAACCCCTCCCCCTCCAAAACTCCTCCCCCTCCAAAACCCCTCACCCTCCTAAATCCCGTCCCCTTAATAAACCCTACCCCTCCGAATCCCCCATTCGCTAAACCTCTCCCCCTGTAACCCCTCCCCCCCAACCCACCACCACCACCCCTCCCCCAGCTCAGTGCTGTGTGGTCCTGTTTGCGGCGTTGCTGTTCACACGGTTGTGGCCGCTGGGGTTACTGTATGTGACCTGGTGGTTTCTGGACCGGGAGACACCGTGTCGGGGAGGCCGGCGATCGCTCTTCCTCCGCAGCCTGAGAATATGGACCCACTTCAGAGACTACTTCCCCATCCATGTGAGTCTGACGCGGTTTTGAATCCTGCCACCACACGTCCATATTATATGGAATAATCTTCAAAAGAAATAATCAATAATTTGAGCTCGTGGCAGGGAAAAAACCTGACGGATTATTTGGGATAATAAATCATATTATTCCCGTAGCGTAGTGGTTAGTGCGCTCACCTAGCAAGCAAGAGGACTCAAGTTCGATTCCCAAGCAGGGCAATATCGAACCTTATCACGCCTTTGAGATGTCTCAAAGCGCTTCACAGAATATCCTGTAAAGTGAATTGACTGTGTATTTTGTGGGCAAAACGAGGCAGCCAATTGCGCACAGCAGCGTCCCACAAACAGTCATGGATTGAGTGACCAAATTATCATTGTTTTTTGAAGGTATTATTACTACCCCTGGAAAAGCGATCTGCCAATCCACTCACAACCGGGTCCCAACTTACTGCTAGGTAAACAGAGGCACGTGGAGTAAGGAATCTTGCCTAAGGTTTCGTCCCGCCTGGGAATCAAACTCAAGTCCTCTCGATCGCCAGGCGAGTGCTCTAACCACTGAGCTGCAGGACTCCACAAATCATCTTAAAAAAATGAAACGATTGAGGAAAGCTAGAAACACACCAATAAGTTTAAATAACACAAAACTCCTTTTGCAATACATCCATTTGAGAGTCAATGGGAGTGGAACAGGTTTGGTTGGCTGCAGCCTGACCTCTCGTAGCTACATGTAGGCAATGCAATGTGTTTGTTGTGTCTGGAGAAAGGATGCTCAATGCTTCCCCTTGTGGCTCAACCCACTCATAATAATACTGTAATAATAATAATAATCCTTTCATTTGATACAGCGCCTTTTAACGGGTTGGGGGTGAGGCAGGGAACGGAGGCAAAAAAATAATAAGAAGAATGTGGTTACTCAATCCACGACTGTTTGTGGGGTGGCTGCTGTGCACAATTGGCTGCTGAGTTTCGCCCACAAAGTGGAGTCAATTCACTTTACAGTGTATTGTGTAAAGCGCTTCGAGACATCTCAACGACTTGCGTTCCACCATCAGTGGCCGTGCTGTCAGGCCACTACGCCCCGAAACTCTGGAACGCTCTCCCTCTGGTCCCTCCGCCTTGCCCACTTCCTTCCCCATCTTCAGGTAGGTCCCGCCTGAAGACCTTCCTCTTCGACCCGGTTTACGGTCACCTCCTCCATCCTCTGCCCGGCTCGACGTCCGCTATTGTCCAGCGCTCTAGGACGCAACCCTGCATGAGGGGTGCTGTGTATGTTGTTATTGTTGTGATAAGGCGCTCTTATCAAATGCAGAGATTATTATAAGTTGTTGCATCACGTCCCCTTAACCTTGTTTTGGATCCCTCAGCCAGAGGGAAAAGCTTCCCCCCTTACCCCTCCTCACATTTTCTCACCCCACTCCCTCTATCTCACTCAGGGTGTCTCTCCCTCCCTCTGAAAGCTCCAACCTTCCAATCATCATCCCACCCCCACCCTCCCCCTCTGCACTGCACTCTGTTGTCTTTCAGTCAACAGACTATGTTTTGATTTAGAAATAACCCTGACTCTTTAGTGATCTAAACCACCCCCCACCGCCCCCTCAGAAATTTTGTTTTTGACTTTTCCCCTTCGCTCCCTCCTCTCCGCTCCCTCTGTCCCAGATCACTGACAGTTGATAGATCCAAGGTAATTGAGTGAAGTTTGATATATCACACAACTCTCTCTCTCTCGCTCCCTCTCTTTCGCTCCCCCTCTCTCTCTCTCTCTCTCTAAAGTCAGCGATGCCGTTTCGCAATACCACAGGGAAGCCACCAAGTGCAGTGACTGTGTGTTTTGTAGGGAGGCAGCTCCTCGACCACAATATTAGTCACCCTCCTACCCCCACCATCCCTGCTCTCCACCCCTCCTCCTTCCCTGCCCTCCACCCATCCTGATCGCAACCCCCCCCCCCAGCTCAGGTCCAAATCCCTGACAGGTCCAGCGCCTTGGGACATCTTCCCAATGTGAAAGGCGGGGTGCAAATGTTGTTGTTGCTGTGGTCATGGTTGACAACTTTCAGGAAATCAATGGGAAATTGAGACATTTCAGAACAGTTAGTGCAAGGCATGTCATAACACAGGCGCAGTGTTGTGAAAAAACAACATTTTTCCCCTGAAAATGGGACGTGTGTTCACTGGAATCACAGAACACGATTGATCTGAGCGTCACAGAGTCCGCACTCCACCGAACGCTCTGCCTGGCAAGGTGCCCACTTCCCGTTCACAGGCACCGTCTTGCTCCATTCAGTAGGGACCAAAACTCCACCTAGTCTCAGCCTGTAAGATCATATTTGTCTCGCAACTTTGTGGGGGGCTCTGAACCACACGGAAACCCGTTACCGTGATCAGCCAGTGATCAATGTGTGTTGTAGGGGCAGGTTAAATAGCTGGAAGTGTCAGCCTGGCTCAGTTGATAGCACTCCTGCTATGACCCGCTCTGCCTTCCCCCACCTCCGCAACATTGCCCGGCTCTGCCACTGCCTCACTCCTCGGGCCACCGAAACCCTCGTACGTGCATTCGTCACCTCATGGCTCGACTACGGAAACTCCCTCCTTACCAGCCTCCCCAAGTCTTGCCTCCACAAGCTGCAGATCATCCAGAACTCTGCAGCCCGTGTCCTCTCCCGCACCAGTGCTCCGTGACCCCATCACCCCCATCCTCGCCCGCTTCCACTGGCTCCCCATCCCTCAGAGGATAGAATTCAAAATCCTCGTCCTCACTTTCAAAGCCCTCCACACTCTTGCCCCTTCCTACATCTCTGACCCGCTGACGCCCTATCAACCTGTCCACTCACTCGGCTCAGCAGGCTCCAGCCCTGCTCCAGCTTTCCCGCCCGACCTGCCCTATCTTCGGCGGCTGAGCTTTCAGCCTCTCTGCCCCCACAATCCCTTTGCCTTGGTCCCTCTCTTGCCTCCTTCAAGACACAACTCAAGACCGTCTTATTCAACCGTGCCTTCAGCCGGCCTCCTACCTCTCTGCCCTCCCTCATCCCAACCCTGGCCCCCCACACTCGAGTTTTGAACTCCAATTGTTCAACGGCTTGGGATGTCCTCCTGACATGAAAGGCCCTTTAAAAATGTAATTTTGTTGTTGTTGTTATTTCTGTTTCTTCAACAACAACAACAACAACAAGATTACATTTGTGTAGCGCCTTTCACGTCGGGAGGACGTCCCAAGGCGCTGACAGCATTTCAGACTCGAGCTGGGGTCAGGGGGAGAGAAGGGAGGGGAAGGGGTGTGGCTGATATCAGGATCGAAGAGGAGGGTCTTGAGGCGGGACTTGAAGGAGGCGGAGTGATTAGGGGATGGAATTCCAGAGGTTGGGGGCAGAGTGGCTGAAGGCTTTCCCGCCAATGGTGGGGCGGGTGAGTCGGAGGATGTGGAACAGGCCGGAGCCGGCTGAGCGGAGGGAATGGACGGGCTGATAGGGGTTAGGAGGTAGCAGAGGTAGGGTGGGGGCAAGGCCATGGAGGGCTTTTTGGATGAGGACCAGGATTTTGAACTGAAGGATAGGAAGCCAATGGAGTCTGGCGAGAATGGGGGAGATGGGGTCACGGAGTTTGTTGCGGGAGAGGACACGGGCTGCAGAGTTCTGGATTATGTGCACTGTGGGGAGAGGAGTTGGGAAGGCCGACAAGCGGGGCATTTGCTTGGTCGAACCTGGAGGTGATGAAGGCATGAACAAGAGTTTCAGCGGCCTGAGGGGTGAGGTAGTGGCGGAATGTTACGGAGAAAGGAGGTGAGGAGAAATGTTTTCACACAGCGAGTTGTTTGGATCTGGAATGCATTGCCTGAAACATTTAAGAGCGAAGTAGATAATTATTTGGGGAGGACAAGTTTGCAGGGCTATGGGGAGAGAACGGGGGAGTGGGACTGAATTGGATAGCTCTTTTCAAACAGCCGGCACCAGACACGAGGGGCCGAATGATCTCCTTCTGTGCTGTATAATTCTATTTTATGATTCTATGATTAGGACTTTGAGCCCCGTGCAGTGCTGGGGGAAAGTTGCATTGCCGGAGATGCCATGCTTTGATTGAGCCATTAAACCGAGGTCATGGCTGATCCAGTTCAAGTGGACATTGTGTTGTATTCTGTTGTGTCAGTGTGGAGTCCTCTAGCGTAATATATAATAATAATGCTTGCATTTGATATAGCACCTTATCACATCATCGAGACGTCTCAAAGAGCTTTACAGAATATACTGCAAAATGAAATGACTGTACATAGCTCATAGCAGTGTTCCCGCAAATAGTCGGGAATTGAACTGACCAAATTTTTCTTATTATTTTTGCTGGAATTATTACCCCTGGAGAAGCGATGCGCCAATCGACTAACAACCAGGTTCCGACTTACCGCTGGGTAAACAGAGGCGCGTGGAGTAAGGAAACTTAACTAAGGTTTCGTGAAAGGCGCGATACAAATGGCATTTTGTTGTTGTTGTTGTAAGGTTTCGTCCTGCCCCACTACACTCACCAGCGTAGTGTTTAGCGTGCTCACCTCGCGAGCGACCAAATGCTAATTCAATTCCCGGCAGGTCGAAACCTTATGCAAGTTTCCTTACTCCACACTCCCCCCCCCCCCACCCCCACTCTGCTTACCTAGCAATAAGTAGGAACCGGTTATTAGTCAATTGGTGAATCGCTTTATGGGGTAATAATTGCTCCAAAAAAATGTGGTCACTCAATCCACGACACTGCAGGCGCAATTAGATCCAATTAGCTGCTGCGTTTCGCCCACGCAATACACAGTCACTCCATTTTGCAGTGTATCCTGTGAGGTACTTTGAGATGTCTCCACGATGTGAAAAGGCACTGTTTCAAATGCAAGGATTAATATTGTATATTATTGTGTTGTGTTGATTGCTGCCTGTGTGTGGGACGTAACTGGCAGAGATCAGCTGCCATCAGGACAGAGTAACTGATTGCACTTTGAGACACTGCGAGGTGATAAGGCGCATGTATCAAAGGCTAGGATTA